CGGCGCCCTCGCAGTCCACGTACAACGACCGGATGGTGACAAGCGCGTCGGGAGTGAGAGTGAGCTTGGTGGCAGGGTTGTTGTAAAAGGTAAAAGGTAAAGGTGGGGAAGAGCCTCCACAAGCTTCACTTCCCGGTTTTAACGTCTAGCTTTAGACCATTATTTGATCTGCCCGACGCGCCAAGTGCAGTACCCCCCACTAGTAGTGAATGGGTCCCGGGGAGGCCTGTGCCGAAGCCTTGGCGATTCTATTAGGCGTTCCCGAAGGAATTGGCTTGGATTGGCGCTGAGCCGGTCAGCTATGCCGCGTTTGTCCTCACAAAGTTTCGACATGGGAGGAATCGAACCTGTGCCCTCTCGGAGGGTTTAGACACTAGCTCCAGCGCCTTCAAAGAAGGCCTTTCTTAGCCGCGGCCTAAAAGGTAAAGGTGGGGTGTTGTACCTGCGCAGGCGGTAGGGAGGGGCGGCGGGGTGCAGGCGCGTGGCGTGGGGCCTGCGCGGGGGCCGGGGCTGCGTGCGACTGCACCACATGGCAGCGACAGGTTGAGGCTGGGTGTTTGCCGCCCCAGTTGGGGGGGCCTTCCCCCGCTGTGCTGGCGGGCCTACCCTGATTGTTCCCAGTCGATGGAACACATGTCGTTGGGCACCAGGATCACCCCAAACTCGTCTGTGGACACCTCGGGCTGCCCGATGTAGGCCAGCGGGCCGTTGGCATTGGGGTCGCTGCAGTTGAGCGGCCCATACCTGGCGGCACTGAAGGCGGGGCCCAGCGGGTTGCTGATGGTCATGCCCTCTGCCAGGCAGCCGTCGCCGATGGCGGTGGCAAACTGCTCAAAGGGGTCGGTGGACCCGGTGTCGAAGAACTGGAAGATGCAGCCCGGCTCGGTGGGGCAGCTGCAGAGGGACGGCGGGCAAGCGCGCGGGCGCAGCAGGCGGGGCGTGAGGCACGCGGCGGGTGAGGCAAACCGCCCGACTGCTGCAGTGTTTGCAGCGTCAGGTTGCAGGCCCCAACAGCGCGCCCGCAGCAGCTTGCCTGCCATCAGGGGGTGGGGGACTTGGGGGCGAAGGGCGCGGGCTGCAGGGAAAGACACCGCAGGTGTGGTAGGGCACGGCTTACCCGCTGGGCGGCTGTGCGGCATCCATGCTGCTGCCCCTCCTCTCCAGTGGGCCACTACCATGCATGCCGAGCGCGCTCACCTGGGAGGCTTGGGGGAGGGCGGGCGTGGCCGAGGCGGGGGTTTGGGTGAAGGTGGGCGGGGCCGAGGCGGGGGTTTCGGGGATGGCGGTTTGGGTGACGGCGGGCGAGGCGGCGGACTTGGAGGGGAAGGAATCACGATGGGAACGATATCCCACAGCAGTAGCAGCGAGGCGTTGGCCGGGGTTTTGGGGTACAGGCCCAGATGCGGGCTGCCGCAGGCGGGCGCTGCGCTCTGGGGCTTGATGGCGCCCAAATAGAGCGCGGGGCAACCGGGGCGGTCAGCCGATTTGAGCCTGAACCTGTCACTGGAGCCGGACCACTCGAGCGCCTACTTGCCACTGGCGCCCAGAAAGGCGGAGGTGTTGGCGCAGGTCTTGCTGCTGCGTAGGAAGCTCTTGGTGGGGCACCCTGTGGACCGGGTTAACAGCTGCAGCACGTGCGTAGGGGCGCATGGTGTGTGAGACAGGGTAGGGAACTTGAAGGCGGGGTGTGTGGGCTACTGTGTTACAGTCACCCCGCTATGATAGGCCGCGTGAGCAGACCTTGGTCAGCTCACGTGTGGGACAGCAAGTGCAAGGTGGCAGCGGTGGCAGGGCATGCGCTGGCGGCCAGGCATCCACGCACAAGCACGCCACCAGCTGCGGCGAGGGCCCCAGCCAGCAGGACCGCTCCGGGGCCAGCGGCACATAGTTCTGCTGCACAACAGGTTGCTGGTCTGGCGGCCCACGCACCGACAGTGTGGCGTTGGTTTTGGTCAGGTCGGCGGCAGTGCTGGGCCCAAAGACAAAGGTTGAGCGGCTGCCGCCGCCGGTGGGCCAGAACTGAATATCGTCTCCCCGTCTGCAGAATAGCGAAAGACACAACACAGGCACAGGGTCAGGGCACAAGCAAGGGCTCCGCCAGCTGAGCTGGGTGGACAGTAAGAGGCCGCAGGCTGAGCAGGTTGGTGGGAGCCACTACAAGCAAGCTGGTTGCCATTGCAGGTGGTAGGCAAACCAGCTGCGCGAGACTGCAGTGGGGGAGACTACTCACTCATCGCAGAAGTAGCCACCCAACTTTCCTCCAGGCAGTTGCCGGGAGGGAAGGGGCGCAGGGATGGGGTGCGACGACGGCAGCAGCAGCCGGCAACACAGTCGCGTCGAGCCAGGCGCCTGGCATGGTCAGCGCCGGTCTCACCACTCGAGGTGCAGCCCTCGCGGCCTACAAGAGTGACATACTTCCTGCCAGGCAATACCACGGGCGCAGCACACACGCCTGCAGGGGCCAGAGGCAGACCAGGCAGGCGATCGGCAGCTGGATCCAGCAGCAGGCAGGCAGCGCCGCTCCAGCGCTGCTCCGGAGCGGCGCTGGAGCGGCGCCGCCTGCAGTGCCAGCTGCAAGATGAGCGACGGTGGGGTCGCTGGCATGAACCATGCCCTCTGCTTCCCAATTCCTCCCCGTTTGCAAACCAAACTCTGGAACAAGACGCTGGAGGAGCGTCCCGGCAGCCTGTTGCAGCAAGCGTTGTTGTCCAGCGTGCAGCTCGCAGATGGCGCCCACCCCCTGGCACAGCAGTCCTGGGCTGCCCAGCTGGCGGCCGGTCTCGCAGCGGTCGGCATGCAGCTGGACCTGCAGCAGCCAGCACCTGTTGACCTCGGCGAGCTGGGGGAAGCTGCGCAGCGCCGCCAGCTGGCGCAGCTCCAGGAGGCGCTGGCGAAGGGCGGCGCCAGCCGGCTGGAGCACTATGTGCACAACGTGGTGGGCGCCCTCAACCTGGCGCCCGCCATGGTTGGGCAGCGCGAGACCTACCTGGATGCAGTACGGCGTCGGCAGGACCGCGAGGCGCTGGCGCAGCTGCGCACCGGGTCGCATTGGGGCGCGGAAGAGACCGGCCGCTGGACGCGGCGCCCCCGAGAGCAGCGAGTCTGCCCCCACTGCCACGACGGCATTGAAGATGCCCCCCACATGCTGCTCACCTGCCCCCTTTACGCCCCGCTGCGCCTCAACTTTCCTGACCTGTTTGCTGAGCCCCATCCTCCCCACCGCTCCT